TTTACCAGTTCCTTTTCTCAGCTCATGCTTTCACATATTGCTTATACTAAAAGCATTCATAAGGGTCAGATTATGCAAATTGTAACTTAATTTTTGAGACATTGCTTTTAACCTGCCACCTCCAGTTCCCATCTATGACTTCAGCAATTCTTAAATAATGAGCATTTTTAACAGAACATGTAATACATCAAATATTTAGTTTTCCCAATTAATAAGATGATTTCTGATCTTCTCAAGCATTTTTTTTTCACCCTCATATTTTCCTTTGAGAAAAAGCAAAGAAGGTTCAAATTCCAGTATCAGAAAAATTCACATAAAAATGAATTTCAACATGAGACTAAGGAGGGCAAACGTTTGACTAGGACATTTGCTGCAATTTTCGTGATAGCAAAGCTTTCTTAATTACTAATGAAGCATTCTCTTGAAAAGGAATAGAGCAAAAAACAACAGAGGGTGGTTGCAAAGTAATTCCTTTTAATATATTACAATCAAAAACATCTTGGGGGAAATAATAAAATTTGTTTATAGGCCTTTTATTTTCAGTCTTGTTTGGAGAACTGATTAGCCAATTCATTTTGAATTTCCTATTTTAGTAATTTCCCTGAAAAAAAGTCACCAATTTCCACTGATTTGGGGGGAGTTGCTCTAATCACAATGAAACAAGATTATAGGCACACTCATTTAATCAAATCCACACCAACTTCAAGTACATCTTACCCATTAAATCTTTTAAAAATATCTGGGATATACCCACTCTTTATATTCTTTGATGCAAAATGCAGCAAGTGTCTTTACATGCTGCTCAGAAAATGCAGGGTATTTATAACATAGTAAACTACTTAGAGTTTCACTTCAAAAATGACAACAATTTTTGTCTTTAATGTGTGTGTGTGTGTCTGTGGTATGTGTAGTCCTATGTGTGAATGGGTGTATATATATATATATATATATATATTTGTGCATTTGTGTGTGCCCATGAGTATGGAGGTTAGATGTTGAGTGTCTCCCTGTACTGTCCCCCACTTTATTTTTGAGACAGGATCTCTCACTGAGGCCCTTGCTCACTGATTGAGTTGAATGGCTGGCCACTGAGCTCTGGGGTTCCTCCTATCTCTGCCTCTCTGCCACCCCTAGACATACCACTGGGGCTAGCAGGCTGGGGTTTTATATAGGTGCTAGAGATTCAAACCCAGACTGTCATGCTTTCATAACTGCCATTTCAACAACTGGCCCATCTCTTCAGCTCCAGTTTTTATTAAATCACAGTGTTTAATGCTCTCTCAAATTCTTATATAATAACAAAGTAGAAGAAGCAGACATTTAAAAATACATCAATTTTGCCTAATATACAAAAAACACATTTCCAAAGGAAAAATACTTTACTAAATAATTTCTATGATACATGGTTCTTTACTGGAAAAAAAAAAAAAAAGTTACCTAACCTGTTGTGAAGTTGAAAGTCCTGTTTCTCTGGAAAATCAGTCACAACACCCAGAAAATTGTCATTCTTAGTAATCCATCTCAATATGAAATGGGGTAAGGTCAAAAGCTACTGACTGATTTGTCAGAAAAAGGCACAAGAGCATCATCCTAGCCAGCACCTGCTCAGATTTGACATGGTGGCAGCAGTTACATCTGAAAACTTGAATTGTCACAACAGCCTAGGAACTCAGTTGCAAATAAGCTTCATTATGGTACAATACATAAGCTGTGGGGTAGAAAATAATTGAAAGTAGATGATTTCTGGGTTACACAAAGAATGCTTTACTTGCTCTTTAAGATTAAGGGTTAAAAGATCAATATAGTACTTCTGACTTTTAACAGGTAGTAGTGAATACAGTTAAATCAGGTCCTGGTGGCACATCTAGCAGACTCAAACATGCCAAGGCCAGAGGCCACAGGTAAGGAGTAACACTTGGATGAGTCGATCAAAATTCACATTGCCATACCTGCACCAAGTCCTTAGAGCTTCTGAGAAACTCCCACAAAGGCACACTCCTATCCCTGCTTTTACTTAAACACAGTCACTTTTCTGATGATGAGATGTATACGTAAAAACAATTGAAGACAACTTTAGACTTTAGTCAACCTTGCCAAAGCCAAGTAAGATAAGAGCAGAACTTTAAGATCCCAAAGGCTTTTGTGTTTTTTCTTCAGAGCTGCAAGTTTGCTCCTTTTAAAAAGCAAATCTGTGTATAAATGGAATTTTCTAATGCTTGTAACTCGATCAGTTGAGGATAGTCATGTGTATCTTAGGTGTTTGCTATTTTTACTTTTGAAGCTAAGCAAAGCATAAAGAAGTCAATGTTGAGTATAAACATAGCTGACTTCCAGGCATCTGAAAAAATACGGAGATTATAAAACATGCAGGAAAAAAAA